CAAGGTGTTTGAGCTATGCTTGTGGGCTGAGGGAGACCTTTGGCCTGGAGTCTGTTCTGAGCCTCCCAGGTAAGATGAGAGCATAAGATGCTGCATCAGCAGCTGTTACCTTATGAACTGTAATTACCAGATGGAAAAACAAAACAAGCTCAACTTTAAACTCACACTTGTCAGAGTAACAGGAGCATGGATTTTTCTACAGTGTTGTTGACTTCTTGTACCAGTAGGATGATGTTCTTGTATTAAAGCTTGTAAATGGTGATTGAAGTGTTTTGGTACTTGAGCATTTTGGCATTGTAGGTTGCAGAGAGCTACTTATTCAGCTCAGTGCCAAAGGAGAAATAACATTAATGGCATTTATGCCTTGCTTTACAAATAGGGTTGAGAGGTAAATGATGCAATTGTAAACCTGGAATAAAGTCTGAACAGCTTTAACGTAGTAGAGCAATTCTGTTTTGCCTTAATCATCCACCTTTCAACTTCAAGGGTCACTGTATTTGTTTAAAACCAGGAGCTGACTGAATCACAGAAGAGTGGCGGAAATGTGCTTCGGATGATGTATGACAAACCAGAAAGGTGGTCTTTCACTTTCCAGTCATACGCATGTCTCAGCAGGATCCGGGCTCAGCTCAGATTCCTTGATGGCAAGCTCAGAGAGGCAGAGAATCCTGTTGTCTTCTTTGAGCGATCTGTCTACAGTGACAGGTATGTTGGACTGAACTCCTTATAATGCAGATCAAAATTCTCCCAAGTAAAATGCAGAAATAAATAAAAAGCAGAACATGCCTTAGTTTTGTACCTCCTTTCGTTGTAATTTTGATACTAGTGAATCACAATAACTTCAAGTCGTTTGTTACCTTTCTCTCGTTGGTGTTGAGAGTAAAATAAAATTACTAGTTTGAGGGTTTATAGTTTTGTTGTATAACCTTGATTAGGTATGTGTAGTTTCTCATTCTTTGTGGGTAGGGTTTTTATGATTTGTGCATGCACGTTTCCCTTCAAAGAAAAGAGGGGATAAGCATCAAGAAGAGTCAAGGGCAATTTTTTTCTTTGTCATTTTGTCTTGTTTTCTTTTATTCTTCTTGAGACAGGTCTGGTTATTTCATATTGCTCTCTGTTTCTGAATTTGGAAGGTTAGATTTAATAAGTAAATTCCATCATACAGTCCTTAGGTGTTCACTGTATTCTAATGTATTGTAAATAAATAACCACAGTGTACAAACCAGTGGTGGTCTATAGATTATTCCTGAATAGATAATTGAGCTTCAAATGTTACTGCTTTTGTGGACACTGCTATGGTCAATGGTAGTGGATGTAATTACAGGATGGGGATACTAGCTGTTTTTTTTCCAGTCCAAGCATACATCAGAGAAGTTACAGAACTGCTGTGCTCAGCTTCTTTTCTAGTTACTGTGCAGCATTTCATGCAAACAAAGTAATGACTGTGTTCAGGCTAATCTTTGTTTATGTAACTCTTTTGTGTTCACAGATATATCTTTGCAGCTAATTTATATGAGTCTGATTGCATGAATGAAACGGAATGGACTATTTACCAAGATTGGCATGACTGGATGAATAAGCAGTTTGGTCAAAGCCTGGCACTGGATGGGATCATTTATCTCAGAGCCACTCCTGAGGTGGGGAATAAACACTTATGAATGCACAGAGAATAAGATCACATGTTCTGTGCCTTGCCTGTAAAATTTGATCCTTGTCTATGCTTCCATAGTATTTTTTTTTGTACAAAAACTGTAGGATTAACTACATGTAAGTAGGTGTAAGTGTAGGGCTTAACTAAACGTAAAAAAAGTAGGTGATTCTAGACCTTATTTATGATAAAAGAAAAATATGCTTGAAGTCAAGTCCAGTAAGGTCACGTTTGTGTGTCATTACATATCACCGTATCTTTGTTTTAGGGATTGCTTTAAATGTCTTGGGCAAGGAAACAGTTGCAAAACTCTCCTTGAAATGTACTCTTCTCAAAGTCTTGAGCTACCCTTACCTTTCACTCTAAGAGTCCTAAGAATTGGAGTTCAGTTCAGATTGTATCATTCCCCTAAAGACTATAATACTTGAGTTATGACTAATACAATCTGGAAATACTTAAAGAAAGAATGTTCTTTCAAATGTAGCCTGTGTATTTTTAAATAAAATGTGATAAGAATTTTCTAACTACAAAACCAGAATATATGATAAGAGCAAACCAGAAAAAAGTGGTGGAACTAAAAAAAAAAAAAAAAAGAGAAAGTATAAAATAGCTATAGGAACATTGCTGTGATGCATATAAGAATTTGCAGTTAATGTCACAGCTGATTTGGGGGTGGGTGTGTGAAGCCCTTGCACCTGGAGTGATGGAGCCAAGCCAGGTGAATGCACCTATTGTGAGGCTTTATGACAATGCTTTGATCTTGGGGCATCTGATATTTTTTAAAAGGAGAGAACAACATAATGAATATATCACTTGAGTATGAAACATGAACAAGAGAAAAACGTAAGAGTTTAATTGCCATAATTAACTACAGGTCACTTCCATGCTTCCTTACTTATAGCTTTCATGCTTTCAACTTTGTTACTGTTGTATCAAACAACTGCATAGCGTATTGTGCTAGTTTCTCTGAAGCCTTTTTTACTAGGCTCACTATGGAGGGCTTTTCTTTTAACTTTTTAAGTCAAGAACATGTATTTAAATTACAAATTACAACAGTTTCAAACAGTTTTGATTGGTTTGTTATTGAAGCTTTGGATGTGTTCAAGATGGAAGCAAATTCTTTACTGCGTTTGAAAGAACTGGGTTCCTAAGAGCCAGAAATACATGAGATTTTGAAATGCCTGTCTATAATGTCAAATGGGTATTTCTGTGCTCTTTTCATGCAATACACCGATACCCTTTCTTTTTATGAAGAGCTTAGTTGAGACCTTTCCTTGTGTTGGAGAAATGATGTGATGCCTTGACTCCTTTGATTTTGTGTGTAGTCCATGGGCTCCATCAGTTGAACATGGCATAGTGTTTCTGTGCTCGTAAGATAGTTAGCAAGTTGAATATTCACCTTTGGCAAAGAGTGGCATGTTGAGCACAGTAGGAAGGGTTGGCAAAAAACACTTCAGCAAACTATACTTCCTCTATAGGTCAGTAAAACCAACCTTTTTTTTTTTTCCCAATATATTTTGCCTTCAGAAATGTTTAAATAGGATTTACTTGCGTGGAAGAGATGAAGAGCAAGAAATTCCCATTGAGTATCTGGAGAAGCTACACTACAAACATGAAAGTTGGCTTCAGCACAGGACACTGAGGTAGGGCTTGTTTAATGGTTACTTAAAGATGGACAGATCTTTGTAACGATGTTCCGTAGTGCTTTTTCCACCAGTGAAACTTGAGCTTTTCCTGTGATATGTAAAGTTAAACTCAAGGAATATTTCTATCTATTCTGCCTTAGTAGTACTGGCTTTACAGCATGTTAATTTTTGATAGGACATGCAATGTGTCTTGTGTTCTCTTCAGATAGAACTCTGAACAGCAGAGGATTCAGCTGAACTAATTTTAATACACAGTTGAATTTAACATTAGGTTCTGGTGGAACAGAATGTTCAAGAATCAATAATATATCCTAGGAACCACACTGCAAATTCAAGCTCCTTTATATTCAGAATTCATGACTAATTTAGGTATGAAGTTTTTTTCATGGGATTCTTAACAATGAAAATGCTGACAGGGACTTGAATGATGTGTACTTTTTTTCAGCTAGTAATGTTTCCTTTGTTTTTATCCCAATACAGAACGGATTTTGAATGTCTACAGGGAATACCTATTTTAACGTTAGATGTTAATGAAGACTTCAAAGGCAAAAAGGACAGATATGATCACATGACTGAAAAGGTAAAATTTCACAAGCAGAACAAACTGATGATTTAGGCTAATTGCCAGCGTGTCAGAATGACTTCAGCATACTTCTTGCATCTTAAAATGTAGCATTCTTTGAAGTCAGCCAAGACTTAAAACTTGTGGTTCTTCATTTTATTTCCTACACAAATTTTCCATAAATTTAAAAAATAGGAAATGTTCAGGCTTATTTGAGCAGACTTTCTCTAGTAGATTTGTTTGCAGATGTGTGCAGGATCTAACATTATGCTAAGAAATGTGAATGGGGGTGGAAGAGGATGAGGGTAGCTGTCAAGAGAGAGAGTGGAAGAAATCTACGCAGGGCTGAGTTGGATGTCAGGGGTAAAGTATTCTTTGTATTAGGTGTGAAAGTCTCTAAATTCCAGTACTAGTCAGTAAAAGAACTTTGGTGCCAGGTACTGTGAAAATACAGTATGTAACAGTTACGACAAAAAATTGAAGGATGATTTTACTGAACCTGAAGCCTAATTTTGATCCAAAGCAGCGAGCCAATGGCAGACTATTTTAGGTTTTGCAGATATTTCTAACTGAACAAAAGAGAGCATGGGCTATCCTCTTGTCTGGTTAGTGTGTCACAACAAAAGGCAGTATAGCTAATGCAAATAGGGATCCTTTGCTCTAAAAATTGCTGTGAAAATATACTTCACTGTATAATCGTTGTTTTAAAATATTTAGGTCATGGAGTTATGTTCAGTCTTACAGCCTGCTGCAATACTCCTTACTTTTAGTCTTGTTTATTAAATTGGCACTGTCATTTAAGTTTTTCCCTTCAGTTGTATTTATTAAAGTGTTATTCAAAATCCATCTCAAAAGCAGTGGTCTGAAAATTCAGGGAATACTTTTCAAATGTAGCTTTCTACTTTGTTTAGGAAGTAATGCAGAATATAAATCAAAAGTATGGTTTTGTTTTATTTGAAGGCGTGGAAAAAATAATGTCTGTTTGATGTAAGGAAAATTCAAGTAGAGGTTTCTATTTGCATTAAGAAGATATAATCCTTAGCACAAAAAGGTGTAATAATATTTTAAAGCTAGGCCAAACCATCAACATTGTAACTGATCAGGTGTTTGATATTTGAGTCTTGATGGGATTCAGCTGACTTTTGAGTGGTTGCAAGGAGTTACAGACCTTAGCAATGGTATGTGCACATTTTTCCACTCTTTGGAAAGAAGTTGTTTACCTCATGAGAGAAGCAGCTTTGTCCTTTGATCTCAGTTTATCCACTGAGAAGTAGAACTGTTCACCTGATTAAAACCAGCCTTCATGGTATTTGCTCTTTTAAAGCTTTTTAATTGATGGAATGACTGGACATTGCAGCTGTGGAGTGAATATGCTTCCCATCTGCAATGTGAGATAAGGTCAACCTCAGGCACCTCAGTAAGGGATTTCAGAGGAGTTACTCCTGTGTATCTGTCAGGTTATCTGGGAACAACCTAAAAGCCTATTGGCATTATTTTTTGGCATTTCCAAAGTGGAGTCCCAGAACTGCTACACTCTTCATGAGGCTGTGTGCATTGGCCTGTAGTATACATTCATGTCCTGTGGGAACCCAAAACCTGTATGCTTCCTTACATGTTGTGATGCTCGCTTTGAGACTCATCCTGAAGCTATGCTTAGTGTGTAAACTGTGATAAGGTTCATCATGCACTGTTACTGCTTTCTGAAGTGGAGGGTGGCTTTCTCGTGATACCTTTCAGGTGAGGGTGTTGGCACAGTTATGTGTTCCTTTCTCTACTTCCTTGAGCCCTGAACTAGGAAGGGAAGGGTCACAGTTAGAGAATGCAATCCAAGATCTGTTTCCATTTCACATCAAGAATTTGAACAAAACGTTTACAGATGGTCTCTCTGTTTGAGAGTGTCTGCCAAAAGAATAAAGCCATGTTCTCTAGTGAATTGTCAGTTCCTTTCTGTGCAGTAGGTTAGCTTGAGTGGACAAAGAGGAAAATGCTGCCAGTTCAGGCTATATCATAGCGTAGTTGTCAGGATGTTCTTGAAACAGTGTTGTTTGCCTAGGCTCTGTGTTCCTTGGGTCTTGTATCTCCTGGGGGGGTTATATTTTTAAAAAAAGTGGCCAGGCCCTCACTGCCACTTCTTATCCCTATGCTTTATGGGAGAGAGTAGTTACCCTTTTTCTTTTGGTGAGGGGGAATGGAGGGAACACACCAAAAATGCATACATACCTGTGGCAAGAAGCATGTTCTCAGCACATTGTCTTCCTTCAGCCTTTGGTGGTGACCGGAACTCAAGATGTTGTCTTAAGTGACTTGGGGTTCTATGGGCCAGAACTTCACTAGTAATTTTTTGGTAGCTGTAGCCGTTTTTGCCACTCTTGGAATACCAGAAATAAGTTCAACAGTAGCTGAACTATTTATGGCATTGTTCTACAGTATCAGATTTTTTTTCAAGTACTTTGGTTTTGCTAGGTGTTGTTTTATTATTTATTTGTGAACCTCAAATTCCAAGGAACATACTAATTAGATGCATCGGTTTGTTCATTGACATTAATATGAATGCTGTTCTGGTAGTGGGTGTGACTTGGTGTTTTCCAAATGACAGATCTTTCGAGGTGGTCATTATCTTCCCCATATTTAGCTTAGACCTGCTTTTAAGATAATTAATTTATGATGTAGGGCTGTGGTTTAGGACCATGGGAGGCATGAGCACCATTCCAAAGCATGTCTCTCTGTGCCTCCTAAATTACAGGTACCATGGCTGAAAAAGTTCTTAATGGACAAGAAATGGCATAGCTAAGCCTAAGATTATTTTTTCCAGTTCCTGTTTCTGTAGGTTGCAATAAAGCATAAAGCAATGGAGAGGTAAATGTAGTTGCTGTATATTTCTGTTGATAAATACTTAGTTTCACTGACAATATTTGTTTCTTTTTGCAGGTCAAAGAATTTTTGAGCACCTTATAATCCTCTTTGAAGCGCAGGCAGAGTCAGAATGTTCCAAACATCTGTGTGATCAAAATCTGAAGTACAGCTTCTGCTTTTATAGAAGGCCTCTGGAGAGGCAGGACTCAATCCTGTTGATGTAATTGTGAGGAACAAACAAACTTTGTGAATAGAGAAATGATTAAATAAATCAGAAAGTCTGTTCAGTATTATATTAAATAACACACACAAATTCTGAAGATACTAGAATTCTGAGAGTTCTCAAATATTGCACCTGTTTCTAATCAGAGCAGTAAGTTCTTCTGGAGTATTTTACTGTATTTTTAAATTTATTTTGTGCCCAGTAGCTATTTACTTTTCAAGAAGGTAGTTTTTAGTTTTTTTAGATCTCTTGAGTGGCTTTTTTAGTGGAACTGATTTGGAATCAATGTCTGATTCTGTGGAAGAAAAAAGTAAAACCCGTTTTTGCTGGTGAAGAAATTTTAATATAGCCTGGAGTTTTATATTGTAAGGTATAAAAAATAAAGTCGTCTGACCATTTTGATGGAGATGAAGTTCTTCACAGAATACACTGAATTTAAACAAATCCAAATATGGCTGAAATTCTGTAGATGCCAAATCGGTTTTTAGATCTGTTTTCCTTGTGCACTGCAAACTGTGATATTAAGAGGCTTTCCATTCGCTAGCATGGTTGGGGGGGGTGGGGGGAGGTGGTGTTTCCATTTTTTTTTTAAGGTTGTTAATAAAACAGAGCTGTTGATTGTTGTTGGCAAGTGCTCTTTTCCTGTAGAGGAGTATGTTTGCTTGATAGGTATGGTAAAAGGAAGGAGAAAATTTTGGAAATGGCCTCCATGTGTAAATGACATGTTTCTAAACCTTTCCTTAATCACATTTTGGATGTCAGAGGTGGCTTCCTGCTTTTGTTCCAGCTTCTCCATTTGTTAACTGGGCCTTCTGGGAGCTTACACAAGATACTGCAGTACTTGAAGTAGGCTGTCCTTTCTCATCATCTGGTAGTAGGAAGGGGAGAACTTTGTGGAGTAGCTGCTGTTCTAGTGCATCTTGTTTTATTAACTGAGCCACTTTTGTTTGAGGTGCAGAAAATATAAACTATACAGGGTACACATCTCAAGTACTGTGTTTTATGAGCTTCTTTGTTTGGCTTTAGACTTTTCTGAATGATTGCACAGTCAGCTTTTGAATGCCAAGTTTTATCGTAAAGCATTTTATTGTCTACTGTAATGCCTGTAGTACCTGCTAATTTGAGATGAAATTTCTTCCTTTGTGGTTGGAATTTTGCTGGCATTCTCTAACCATTGACTGAAAATTAAAAGTGGTTGGAAAGACTTTTTCAATGCTTAATAGTGTTGGCTTCCTTGTCTTGTAAAAGAACTGATGTTGTAGATTTCTGGTATGTAATACTAGTACAATGGATGAATTTAAGATCATGTATTCTCTGTTCTCCAGGATTTTTGAAACACTGGGACCTGCTTCAGACTTTTTTCATGTATGGGAAATGAGTTTATGGGATAGAGACACAGGATTATATAAAATGTATCATACGTATAACTTACTGATCAGTAGAAGTGTTTTGCGTAATATTTATCTTGTAGTGGAAGGTAGTAATAGTACGGTAGAAAATATTTTGGACTTCAAGACTGCCTAGTAAAAGGAAAGATTTTAAGATCTTTGTTCTAGAAATGAAGTGAGGTGGAACGCTCAGATTTGCTTGAAACGCATAGTAGAAGCCTTTAAAACATTCTTGGCAACTGTCTGAACAGTAACAACTTATTTTGATTAACAGTGCAATTATTCCTGCAGTTTCAGCTGTCAAAATTGTGGATTTAATTACAGGAATTGGAATGACAGTGCTTGTTGCAAGGAGTAAACAAGTCTGAGTTCTAATAAAGGCTTCTTTTTAAACCCATCACAGAGCACACAGAAATTCTGTGGCAGGTTATCTGCGTCCCATTCCAGAAAGCTTTACAAAATCTCTTGACTGCCAAGTTTGAGTTTGAAGGAGCTAAGTCATGACCAATCATTAGAATGTTTTTAATTGCTGTGGAGAAAACCCACAACAAACCCAAAACAACCTCCTCCCCTCCACCTGCCCCCATGCTTCTCAGAGCTTTGTAAGTAGTTGGGCTGAAGTCCGTGAAGCTGCAGTTATTTGTATGTAGGACAGATGCAGCATAAACAGAAGCAGAGATGTCCTTAGACTGTTCTGCCTGTGCATCTGCTTAAACCTCACAGCTCTAACAGTACCTCAGACTTTCAAATTTGTCAGTATTCTTTTCTTTGCCTATATCTATTCCCAGACTACCACAAAATGGGATTGTTGTGTTGTTTTTTTGCCTATTAGAGATACAGAAGGTTTCTGAACTACCTGCTGTTTGATTGATGAGGTTTTTACAGTCTTTGAGTGCCGTGTCCCTTTCTCTTCCCTTGGGTAAGAGAGACTTTGATGGAACTGGCTAGAAATGCTTGTTTTGTTCAAGTGTCATCACAATTGGGGAACAAAATCGGTATGTGGGTTTTGTTTTTTCCAGTTAGGATACAGATTAAAATACTGTTGGTAGTGTTTTAATTGCTATGCAAGTACGTGTGTGAGCAAGGGACATGATATTGCCTTACTTTATTTTCAGTCCTTGTAGTTGTTTATTGTGTCATGGGTTTTGAGTTCTCTTAATATAAATACTTATTCGAACAGCAGTAGATTTTGTAGGTGGAACTTGATTTTCTATAATTTTCTGCCAGATACTTATTTCTATTGTTTTCTGTTTATTTAAGCAGACTTCATAATAATGGAATTGTATATAAAATGTGATGTATTGAGATTATTCTGTTCTTTTTCCAGTAATTAAAGACTCCAGGAATCTATTTGTGAAATAAAAACGACACAGGAGAAATTCACTATAAACTATTAAGCATAGACAAAGGAAGTATGTATGTAGTAATGATTAAGTTCTATTTTGGGAAAATAGAGTGTGCAGTTGCTGTTGCTGAGAAGTTTCAGCATATCTAGGTGTAGGGACTCCAAGGCTTTTTTCCCAGCTCCCATTTAGATATGCTGTGTGACTGTGAGTAAATTGCTCTTTGCCTCAGTCTTTTAATCTTTAAAATATTGATATCTCTTGATGTCTTCAATATTAACTAACCCTCCCAGCCTTCTGATGTGCTGTTTTGTAGGTCTGAAGTGCTCTGTTAAATAATTGAGAATGAGGGCAGCCCTGGTTTTAGATTTTTGACTGGGATGTTTTGATGTCCTCATGAAAAAAAGGAGTCACTGGCTCAGGTTCATAGCTGATATAAATTATTTTTTTGGTTTAAAAGATATTAAAAGCCATGAGTGCAACATCAGTTGTGTTGAAGTTTGTTCATTGAAAAATGTGGCCACCAAAACTGTCATCATTTGTGAGGAAAGGAAACATTACCAACTTAATCTTGAAGTAAAAATTGATGTTAAAACCTGTGCTGCAGTGCCTGTAGCTAGGGGTAATGGCGAAGCTATGTGCAGAGCCTGCCACGCGAGGTCCTTATGTCCTCAGTTCTCTCTCTGAGCTGGCTGCAAGAGGAGCATCTGTTTTAACAGTGAATGGCTTTGGAAAAGGTAAAGAAGGAAAAGGTCACTTCCTCTCTTTGCCAGAGCAAAACCATTAAACTGATCAATAAATACTCTACTGAAAGGTGAATCTTGATCTGGAAGGAGGGGAATAAAGCAAGCCCCCACTGGATTAAGTGGAAGACTAGAAAAGGCTGAGCAAATGGGAGCAAATTTTGATACGAGAAGGTCTTTCGTGCAGCCACCAGCTGTTTTTGTTCTGTGAGGGAATATTAGCACATGGATAACACTAATCCAGACGTGTCTGAGTGATAACGGTCTTCTAGCTCTGAGCTATCAGGCCTGAATGCAGACAGTGAGCAGTACTAATGCTGGCAGTGTACTGGGAAGATAATTATGAATTCTTCTAACTGAAGTCACGCACAATATGTGCCAAATATAAGCCTGAACTGGGTATGGCTATGAAATTCTGATTGAAATCCAGTAGTGACAAGTAGTATGGATTCCATATTGAGAGTAAGTGGTACAGTGATTTTACTTTAGGCTAGTATTCAGCATGGGTGTAAAATAAGTGTAATGCACAGAGCTTAAAAGTCTAAACTGTTGTGTGTATGTTACTTGTTGTTCTTAGGTTTAGGTTTCAATCCATGGCTATAAATAATATGATAGTGTGAATAAGAATATAGGGCATGCTAAATTAGAATGTAGACTGTTGCCCATTTCTTGGATTTTTGCTGACAGCTCTTCCCAATGTCTTAGGCAGGGTGTACATTACAAATATGTATCTCCAGAATGTCAAGGTAGTCCAGTTTGCACTGTGTATATTTGTTGGCTAATAGTACTGACCAACTTAGAAAAAGTCAGTTGGTTCTTGAGAGTTATTTACAAAGATGTTGCCACTGCAGTTCATCCAGAGTACGTTCCTGTGCTTTCTCCAGACTTCTGTCCTGCATTCTGTGCTTTTTCTCTCCAATTTCCTTCTAGGTTGTTGTGATTTGTCTTTTAATAACTACTAAAAACATGATCTTGTACAAGTTGTAACAGACATTTTAAAGCCAAAATTTCACTAGTACACAGTCTACTTGAGGGTGTGGCTTCTGCCTCTGTTTGATTTCACTATCAGAGTTTTTTTCGACCTCTTTTCTGAGCAATTATCTTGTGTTAGCCCACCTGATTGCTGGGGCTCTGGCTTCTGTCTGTGGATATATGCTAACAGTGTGCTCTTTTTTTTCCTAATAACGTTTAGATTTGCTTCCACTAATTTCTTAAAACAGTAGCTGTTGCGCTTTGAGAAGTTTCCACTGCACCTTTGGCTTTGTCCTGTCTGTGGGGCTAGCTCATGGCCTTTACCCTGACGCTCTCAGCTGTGTACAGTGGCCTCAGGTCATTGACTGTTTTGTTGCTGGTCTGGATCGGCTGCCCGTGTCCTCTCTGTGCTGTGCTTCAGAAGAAGATCTGCTGTCACAGAAAGCAGGACTTTACGTTTTAGGAATCCGTTCCTGATCTGTAATGCCACTTGTTTCATGAGGGGTTATTGCAATGATCCAACATAGTTGGGTAGGTATTTATTTTCTGTGTGCTTGTCCTTGTCAACAGTTTCTTTGCTGTCTCTGCTTTATTATTGTTTAAAGGATAGGCATCATGTCAGTCGAAAAGCTTGTACAAGTGGGGTTTCTGTTACAGTGTACTGTGGCCACAGTCCTATGATAGCTTGTTAGGATAGCTGGTTAAGATGCCATAGATTTTATGGCCATCTTTAACTGCAGTTTTTGCTGGAGCATGCTTTAAACATTCTGGATCTTTAAACATTCTGAATGTGGCAGACTTGCTGTGTGTTGTGGCAAAGGAATATAGCTCCATTTTGTGGAATTGAGCCATTTTAGGTCTTGGAAAGTTAACAGATTGCTTGAGGCTGGGAGCTCTCCTTTTCTTGGGCAGTCTCTATTTTCAGTGTGCTTCATGCTATTGTGCGTGCACTTTCAATCGGGTTCTTCTACCTAATATGTACCCCTACTATTCTTAGACATCTAGCTGTGAAGTACCTCCTGATCTCTTGGTTTGAGCTCTTACCTGCTGAGATTTACTCCCTGTTGCCTTTGAACATAATCAAGGCTTGTGCACAAGACGAGCCTTTTCCTCAGAGGGCAGCATGATACTTGTGTTCTAGTGGGCAATTGTTCTGCTGCTTGTAGCTTCCCATCCTGTTCAGCATTGTACTATGGGCAGGACTGGTATTTGATGCTCAGAGGCTGTGGCATGGTACACTCTAGGAATTAATTCTAACTGTATCTGCCAAGTCTTATGGCTATATTGCACACTAAAACTTGTGTGACACAGCTAGAATCTTGATCATGTTTGTTGCTTTTTGGCTCATGTAAGTAATGGCTTTTCATGATACCTATTAATGACTTACAGTTAGTCTATGCATTCATTAAGGCTGATGGAATTTGTCCATGCCAGAGTTGAGTCACTAGCTCTCTCTGAAAATTTCCTTTTCTCCCAAGGTTGTTCACCCATGATACACTCAAACTGATAATGCATCTTAGTTCTATGTTTTATTGAAAGTCTGCTCTTGCCCGTTTCTCTCAGATGAGGACATCTCCAGCATCTGGTTGCACTTTGGGCTTTAAATACTGCTGTTAGCATTGCTTCTGGGACTGCCTTTACAATCCAGCTGGAAACATACTGGCAGTAGGTCAGAAAGCATTGCTGAAAATGTAGCAATTCTCTGTCTGCTTGCTGTGGAGCATGGACTAAAGATCTCTGGATCTGTTGAAGTCCCTCTGCAGAACCCTCCTTTTAGTCACTTTTTGTCAGGAATGTTCTCCATCTCTGCATTTGTTGCACTGTCTTTGAGGGCTGTTTGCCTGTTCTACTCTGCTTGTCTCTAGCACTGGAATATAACCTGATTTTCTTTTGA